CTTGGTCTCTCAGGATATTTTCTCCTCAGTATTTGAGGAAACTCCAGTGACGACTCAACCTTTGGAAAGAGTTTGGGTCACATGTCAGGTCACATGTCGGGTCCTCCGCCTTGGAAAACAGATTTTAGCCCTCATTTCTTTATCTCTTTCCAGCTGGTCCAGTTGGTTCTGTGTTAATTTGAGCTTTTTGTGCTGGTCAACTCACAGTGAGCCTGGTTCCAGTCGTGGTTTCACTTGTGTTTACTTCCCTGCTGTTCTTAGTACATCTCTGTTGTTTGCCGTTTTATTTTCAGTTTCATTTGTGTAAATTGTCTGTTTTAATACACTAATATATGTGCATATTTTATCTATTTTTAAATAATCCTATTAGACATGCACTGATCTGATATTAATATCTGTATTGGTGCCAATTCAAGTTCGGCTTTTGGTGTTTGCTAATTGTTGTTGGCTAGTCTGAAGGAGCTGAGTGGGGGAGGAGCTGCATCTGAAAAGTGGGACTAAGTCCACCCAGGTGTTTTGCATAGTTGAATGGTTGCCATGGAGATTGTAGGATTTCTCACAGGTGCATAAAAGAATCAGGACAGCGCTCCCTGTATGTTTTTGATGCAGGATTAACTTTATAACATGATGTCAAGCTAAAAAAAGTCACTTTTATATAATACTGCCCCTTTAAACGCAATATTGTAGGGTATCAAGAGTCTGTTCTTCAGTCCACACAATAGAGATAATTAAACATTGAATAAACTCTGCTTTACTGCAAATCAAAGGAATAAGAGTAGCGTTTTCATGGTTAAAGACGGTCTTTGATCCTGTTGATGTTCCAGCTGCACATGTTGATGTTTACCTGGTCGACTCTCCTCTCCTTGTATTGACATTACACACACCGGCCTGTTGTGACAACAGCCTGTTGGAGTGCTGATGCTGCAGGCGGGGAGTCTGAGAGCTGCACTGCAGTCACTGACACAGCAGAGGATCTGCAGCAACAGCAGCCCCCTCATCAAACTGTGAGCCTGAAGTTAAAACATCTATCACTTTCTCTTTGATCAGCAGAATAATCTATTTCATCTCCACGCAACGTGTTGCTGATAAAAGCTCCTACAAGTCCAAACTGAGGAGCTGAAAACAGGAAATCCTGAAATACTGAATGTCAGGCTGGATTAAAAACTAAACTATGTTTGTCTTTGATGTCATCTTTCATGAAAAATGTCAAAATAAAATAATTAGCTAAATTTTAAAGCGCTGATGAAAAATAAGAACACCAGTGTGTATCAGTGAACATCTACGGAACAATCTGTAGATGAAAACATGCATTTTAAGTTCATTTTATGGAATTCTAATGATTAATAAAATGACAAAATTACTAATATAGTATAGTTATCAAAATGCAGAATCTTACCTTTTATTAATTATGTGTTTTCATAAACATGACAAACAACAAACTTTTCTGCTGATGCCATCAACTGTGCTCAGAAAAATAGATAGAAATTGTTTTAGTAAAATTTGCTCTTTATATATTTGCTCTAGTAAAATTGCAACTCAAATCTATACATTTGTAAATAGTTCTATTGATGAATAACCTACAATTACTTTCAAATAAAGTAATGAAATGCTTTATCCTACAGAGCATCTGAAACCTCCATGTATCTTCATGATGAAGCCAACAGAACACTGAGGAGAATAATCTATACTTCTGCTGTGTGATTTATGACAGAAATTGTTCTTGGAGTTGAGAATAATGACATTAACAAAAAGCCCTGAGAAACAGGTTAACAAGTCTGTTAATAATAACAATGTCTGTTGATATTATTTACATATTAAAATGTTCAGAAAATCACAGCAGTTTTTATACCCAGGAACAGATTTTTACTGAACAGAACTTCATTAAAGGTATTTTTAGCTGCATATGAATTATAATGTTATCCAGCTTATTTAGCTTTGTTAAGGGTTTTAAAAGAAATGCTTCATATACAGAGGTAACCTCTCTACTGTATTGCAAAAAAAACAGACATGAGTAAATTAGAAGTCATCAGAGATTATTTTAGCAAAATTTTAATAACTACATTTTATGACAGGGATGTCCAAAAGATGGTCTTTTCTTTGTTACCAAACCACAAAGAAAAAGACAGTAAAAAACGAGAACAAATAAACCAAAAATAAAAATTTTAGAAATTATTTGCTCTCATCTAATACAGCAACTTTGCGGAACCCTATTTATTTCAAATTACCAATAATTTAAAAAAATAAAAATTAGCTTAATTAAAATATTGTTTATTTAGTATATCAATGAATATGAGAAAAATTGCAAGCAGACAGCAAGATCTGCAAGCAGATTGTTTTTTTTAAATGTTTTTACTTTTTGTATGTTCAAAATAAATAAATAGATGTATAAGTAATAATGCTTTTCAATTTTAATAGAAAAAAAGTGGCTCTCAAACGTTCTCACCTTTACATTTTTGAGTCTAATGGCAAAACCTTTGGACACTGCTAATATATGAGATACATTTTAATTAGTTTATTTTTGATTTTATTCTCAGAGCTGCATTTTAAACCTTGTCCTGGCAGCTGGTGGTGGCCACAGCAGAGGAAGCAGGTAAGGTTGTCCTGTCTGGACTGAAATGAAGCAAGTGAAGTTTTAACTTTTGCATCTGAGGTTTAGGATGTAAATCCTCTGGATGAGTTTGTTACCTGGATGGTTAGCAGTCCCGTCTCCGGGGCGGGGCCATATCCGATAGAGAGGAGAGGAATGTCTGTGTTTGGGGAAATGTGAGTCTTAATAGGAAAAAATTACAAAAACATGGGGCACTGGTACTTTAATCTCTTCAATCCAGAAATTATACCTTGGGTCACACTTTTACAGTTTAAATTTTTTTAAAGGGGCAGTGTTAAGTGTTTTTCAGGATACAGCATAATAAACTATGTTAAACTTAGTTGATATAAAAGTGATTTATATATGAAATACTGCTTGAACGAAATTATATTTCATAATATAATTATGAAATTGGGTCACTGTCTCTTTAAAAACTGAACATGGCTCCTCTATTAGCTCTTTAACAACATTCTTACCAGCGTTGCCCTTAGAAACAGCTCCTATAATGAGATCAGCAGTTCCACCAGGTGTTTGCTGATTGCTGCTGGCTAGTCTGAAGGAGCTGAGTGGGGAGGAGCTGCATCTCGAAGGCGGAGCTAAGTCACAGCTGAATGGTTGCCATGGAGATTAAAGGATTTCTCAAACATGCATGAAAGACTCAAGGCAACACTTCACGTATGTTTTTAATGCGGAAACAACTTTATAACATTATTACATAATACTAGCACTTTAAAGTATTTCATTTAAACTTGAAAACTCCTCCACCAGCAGTGGCTCTGCTGGTGGAGCTGCTGTCAGGAGAGATTGCTCCTCCTTCACCAGAAAAGATTAAAATCTTCCTTCTGTGACAAAACTTCCAAACAATAAGGTTTTCCATTTAAAAAACAAAAAAAGCTAAATTCGTAGCAATGCTTTCCTGCTGTTGGAGCTGCTGAACCAGCAGAGAAAACACCAGAGCATCACATTCATCATCTCTCCCTTTATCGTCCAGCAGTGAACCAGCGCTTAAGCTCTCTGCCTCTCCATCATTAGCATTGCGTGGGAGCCAAAGCTGACGGAACGGCCAGTTGGAAGAAATATTCTTTTAATTTATTTATCCATTTTCTATCCCTGCAGAGTGTTAAAAAAATAATGATAATAATTTCATCAAGAGCCGCCTCCATCTCTGATGACATCATTTTCCAAAACTCCATGTTGAACAAATGTGGCTTTTTAATGATATTGTTGTGTTTTCATTAGTAAAATTATTGTTTAACAAACAACCAACTGTGTTGGTTGTTGAAAAGGAAAAATATAAAAGGAAGGGTAAAAATAGCAACCAAGCAGCGATCAGGTGATTTCGACAGAGTTGTGCCATACCACATATTTTGGTAACGATCTGATAACAAGTAAACACGACCTGTATCACAGATATGGATCTTTTCCATTATTTGGGTTTGAAACGTTATGAAACGTCCAGTTTTTTCCTTTAAATTTTATTTTATTTAAACCAGGGACAAATTTAAGTTTAAAGGCATCTACAAAATACTTTAATGACAGATTAACTAAGGGTGAACAAATGTATCTGTGCTAATTTATCAGCTGATACTTACATGTGAAGCTGATCTTATCCCCACGCTTATCTACTTCAGCAAACATCTAAAACCTCAGAGACCGACCCACCCGGTCATGTCTTGCTATATTTACTGACATTTCAAACAAAAAAATTATATCTGCCACAATCTGAATTGGCAGGTCAAGGTTGTTGAGAAGATCAGTAATCTGCAAACACCCCGAAAACTTTAAAAACAACTAATTTCTGTGGATTGTTTCCAAAAACAAAGTGAAAAAATATAATTTGAGAGCAAATCAACACTAAATCATTTTTGAGGCAGACTTGAGAAACTACAATACAAAAATAAAATAAATGTAGGGATTTTAATCTAAAATATGGCTCTTACCATTCTAGTATAGATCTGATACTATACTAGAATGCTAAGTTTATTGATGCAATCAACAAAATAAGAAAAGGAAAGAGACAAATCTTGATCCCAACATGCATCACGGCCAAACTGTCAACCATTTACACGAACCCAGCCAACCTTCCCCACCTTCAAAACAAACAGAAAAGGGCCGGAGGCTGCAACCCTCTGCACCTTAAATTAAAGGTTAGCGCAACATGACGCGCCGTTAAGGTGAGCAGGTCATCTGGGGTTTGACTCCCCTCCCGGAACTGGTTAAACTCCCTGGATGTGGACTAGTTTCGCTTTCCCCCAGCCTGGACTTCCTGTCCCGGTCCAGATGTGCTTAGGTTCGGTTCGGTTCGGTCCGGCCTCCTGGTTTCTGTTTCTTGATGTAATAAACTCCCGGAGCCACCTTAAAAAGCGGGCAGGGTGATCCCGGCCTGGCCCCGCCTCTCGCGGCTCGTGAGGCAGACGTCTCTCCGGCACTTTTCCCGGGTCTCTTTCTGGATGTAGACGTTGTCGGAACCTACCGAGTCCGAAACCCAACAGCACCGCCGCGAACGGGCTCCATTTACCGGATCTGCAGCGACAGGAGCGGGGAGGTGACTTTTTTCGGCCCCTCCTTATCGATTCTTTTCTGGATTCGGTTCGTTTTCGCCCCCAGGACCAGAATCTGGTCTCCGCCGCTGAAGAAACTGGTTTCAACGTTGGAGTTGGAGGTCCCCCTTCCTCCTCCTCCTCCTCCTTTCCCTCCTCTTCCTCCGCCTCTTCCTCTCGGCTGCTCGCAGGTCGTTCCACCGCGGAGCCTGTTGGGAGATGGACCAGCCCCAGTAAGGACGCTGCCCCGCGGTTCGGACTCAGTAGCAGGACGTGATTTGGACCAGAACTCGCCTGTTGAAGGTACCGTCTAATTCCTGCGCAGTTAAACTTTATGTCCACTTGTGGCTGGACGACGCGGATCCGACATGTTGAATGTTGTTTGTTCTCTGAAATTGTTGTTTTTGTAATTGCTAATTATCGGACACTCCGGCTGCTTTCCCCCGTATTGTCCGCCTCGGTTATCCACAGGTGTGAAGCCGTGGCGAACCCACTAAGATCCACTTTCACGTCGATCTGGATCCCCGGGTTTTAATCCCGGATCCAGCTGTGGAAACACCGCGGCTCGTCTCCACCCCGCGGCTCCGCGTTCCGGACGGTTCGCTCGGGTTCAGCAGCGGCGGTTCGCGCCTCCTCTGTCCGCAGCCAGAGCTCCACGGAGACCTGCTGCCCGCCTGCGGGGCTCGGACTCGGACTGACTCGGCCGTTAAAGCCCGTGATCCCCCGGTTCTCCCGCACCGCGAGGCGGATCCGCTATAAGCCGTCGAGTTGCTTTTATTATCAGGTTTGAATCATCAAACTTCCATTAAGTGGCCACTTTCCGTGAGACTGGCTGGATCAGCGGCTAAAGTTGCTTTTCCATTTCACCCATGTTTCTGTGTCCCACAGACCGGCCGAACTGGGGCAGCTGGTTCCCAGTACCAGTCGGGGTGTTAACGGAGCAGAACGGCGCGGTTTTGCGGGGATGTGTTTAAAAGTGGCGCAGTGTGTGGATGGCGCTGTGGGTGCTTTTTGTCTGGGGTCTGGAACCAGTTTGCGGGAGTCTCTGGTTTCTCCCGGTGCCACTGGTTGCTCTGGGGACTGCCCGGGTGGATCTGTGGGATCACGCTGCCTCAGCTCGTCGGGCTGGTCGGAGTGGCTTTCCCCCCAACATCAGCTCCTGCAGTGGAGGTGGAACAGTCCTCACCGAGAGCGTTTCTTTTAATTAACGGGGCTTTAGCGCATAAAGAGCCGTCCTTACGTCATCCGCCTGGATGGGTGGATGAGGCTCTCTCCTCTTTCCTCCCACTTCCTCCCCTCCTCCCCGGCTGGGTGTGTCCCGCCTTATTGCGTTAGGAAGGAGGGGGATCCCACATCTCGGCTGCGTGATTCCTCCTCAGCTTGTGACCTCCAACGAGGGCATTGCTGCAGCTTAACCCCCCGCAGACTCGCAGGCTGCAGAGAGGAAAGAAAATGATGCGCATTTGAATCGGATTTGAATGTTTATTTGAAATGTGAAGAAGGAACTGGAGTTCATTTCCATAGTTTCCTGGTTGTTTGCTGAGGAATGTCTCCATGTTTTCTCCCTGAATGTTAATATCTGCAGGTTGGAAAGCAACAATTTCAACCTGAATCAGGCAAATAAGACAAGATATGATTCAAATAATCACCTAATTGAATAATCGATTATTCCTCAACTGGAGTGTACAGACTCTATTAACACACTCAGAGTAGTAATTATCCAAATATATATTTATTGCGTTTTTCACCTGGTTTCATATTCTGTAAAAAATCTTCTATTAATAATTATGACTGTAATGATAAATTTTATCCCTGAAGTCATCATGATTAAAGATAATCTTTGTTTTGAAACATTAATAAATCAGTAATATAACAGTAATAACATAGTAATGCAAGAATATCTTATGGACGATCATTTACATTCTAATAAACGTTTAACACTGCATCTGGAAGACATTTTAAAATAACCCAAATAAATACACAAAACAACAAATTAAAGAAATTAAAGAATGACTAAATCATGCAATATACTGATTTATTGCTTATTGTGACCAGCCTACTATTAATCACCTTGTTTTATCCAGTTATTAATCGATTATTCAGTACAATAATTGGATCGCTCCTCCACTGCATTGATGCATAGTCCAGCAGAAAGCGCTTTCTGCTCCACATGTTAATGTTAAAAGCATTTTTTTTAACTGCAAATGAATTTTTTCTGCAAATAATCAAGTGTTACCTAAAATGTTTAGGTAACACTTTATTTGACAGGGTGTGCATAATACTGACACAATGCTGTCATAAACATGACATAACATCATGTCATGTCTTTATGAATGTCTCTGACTGTTGTCATGAAGTGTCATTCCATAAATAATGACACTTGTAATGGAAAGTTGCTCTAAAAATTGTATTTAAAAAAGGAGTTGAATAATTTTTCATTTGCATCTTTCAATATATTTATAATGGTATAAAAAAGGTTAAGCGGGGAAATGATAAATCTGTAGAATGCTCCTTTTTTAAATTTGATTAACCAGCTCTGGTTTAGCCTACATGCTAAACCAGAGCTGAATGAAACTGGTTCCAGCAGCAGAGGAGATCAGCTTCAAACTGGACCATAGTTTCCATCATTAACAAGCCGTACCGACACCATCCTGACCAGATGTTTAATCAACAGATAATACACCTGAAATCTTCAGTTTCGTCTGAAAATAGCAGATTTTACAGGGTTAGTTGGTTTCAGGTTGCAGTGATTCTCCTCCATTGATCAGTTTGGATCAATATCCAACTTTATTGTTGGCTGCAGCGGTGAGGAGCGGTTCTGGTCGTCAGTTCGGGCCGGCAGTGAACCCGCTGCAGCTCCATCATTACTAGAGCATGGGAGCCTCAACTGATGCAGCGGAGAGTTGGAAGAAATCTTCTTTTAATTTCTTTATCTGCGCTGGCAAAATGAAAAACATCTCCTCTTCATCGACGTCCGCCTCCATCTGTGAAGAGCGATGAAGTCATCTCCTCCATGCTGAACATCTCACATTAAACTGCTGCTGCAAAAATCATTTCAATCTGAAAAATACCTTTAAAACAAACAGTTCGAGGTCTGACATTATAAAACACCGCTATTATGAATTTTATAGTTTACTCGACTCTTTCCTGCAGATTGAAGCAAATAATGCATAATCAGAAATAAAGTTTGTTTCTGGGTCCAGTTTTGGTCCAGCTGGGTGGCACCAGAACCGAACCAGACGGAGCTTCGCAGTCTGTGGTTTGACTCCAGCTGTGGGTCAATAATTAACCAGAATGATTTAGAGTGGTTGCTGCATAATGAGACAAATGTTTAACCAGTTTCAACCTGTGATTTTCCATTCAGACATGGAACAAGATTCTGAATATAAACCAAATCAGTTTATTATGACTTCAGATTCTGCTGGTTTATTTCAGTGTTTCACTTCACAAGTTGAGAAAAATCTGAATATTGATACTGAACTGAGAACAGTCTGCACTGCAGTCAGCTGAATATTTAAAAATTGTCTCTTTTTTTTGCGTGTTCATTCTTTCTATTTAAACCCAACTGCAGTTAGACTTCCATTTTAAGAGTTTCTGATCCCAAAACAATGTGCAGAAGAACAACGTAGCCGTCGCCCAGCAGCGCTCTGTTTATGGCAGTAAAGATGGCCGCTGCCATCTGTTGATGGATTTTAAAGTTGTTCAGAAAAGACAGCATGGTCACCAGCTCTGAACCAGACAAAGAAAGATGATAAAATTTACCGTCAGAATTATGTCACATCTCATGTCGATGATGTAAAAGATAAAATGCGGCATGACCTTTCAGTCTGCAGACATTTTGAAAACTGTGTAGCTCCACATCTGGAAGTGGAACAGATCGGATTGCTTTTGGGTGAAAAACTCTTCATTTGTGTCACGCTCGCCAGCCTGAGTTGTTCCAGGAGAAATGTTAATCAGAAGCAACTTTTTAGTCAAACTTTCCTGTTGGGGTGAAACATAGATCTTTTTCCTAGAAGCTGGATGGAGTTCTCAGTATCTGGGTTCTGTTTATGAACCCAAAGCAGAAAGATTCAGTCTGTTTTTTATTGCTTTTGTTTCCATTAGTGAATAACAATCCAACCTGGATCAGACTTCTGTCACCTGGGCGCCTATAGATGGGTGACCGCTCACTAATTCGACCAATCAGAGCTGAGTTAGTGCCATTAACATCAGAATACAGTGAGACGGTCATGAGAACCGATCGCTGGTTCTGAATGTGAAGAACTTACTTTCTATTTCCACATCAAGCAGAGACTGATGGGAGGAAATGAAGAGGAGTGATGAAGATGGGGGTCAGATGGAGCAATAATAACATCTGAGCTGCATGGTTGCTATCGGACTGAGCTGTAATGTAACCGCTGCTCTACATGCTGCGGCTCTATGCTGAGTTGGTCATCATCAGTGATGAAGATGCAATAGTTTTGTTTCCATCCAGTTGTCATGAAAATTTTAAGGAAACTTTTGATATGTCACATAAAAGGAAAAAAAAGGGAAGACGTGAGCTAGTCGTGTTTCCATCTGCTGGTTTGGAGTGAATCAGTCAAACAACGTAGAACGTGATGTCATCAGATGTTGATGACATCACGTTCAGCTGTGCATGGCTGGAACAAACAGGAAGTAGAAGTTTCTGAGTCAGCGTTCCTCCCACCCCAGCCTGGAGTTTCTTGTGCTCGGATCCAATTCTCCCATCTTGGAGGTTTGGACTTTTTCAGAGTTTGGTGCCTCTGGTAAGGCATAGACATACCAGAGGATGGGACAGTTTGCTTCATCAGAACTTATCAAGCAACTATATTTGGATTAACTTTTTTTTGGAAAAGCCAAAAACCACATCATGTGAGCAAAATACTTTTCTTTTTAAATTGAGGAAGTTGTTTAGATTTTTGTCTATGCTTCAAATTATTGATGGGAACGTGGCTATTGAGAGGCTGAAGGCAGCTGATCCTCAGAAAGGAAACGCTGAGTCATGTTTACCTGCAGACAAGCTGGTGCTGAGGATCACAGGAAGTGACATGTGCTGACTCGATGTCTCTGTCCTCCTAATGTCCCGCTGGACGCTCAGGTGTCTTCATGTTTCCCTGTGATCTGCAGCTGCTCTGTTAGATGCTCCAGATGGTCTGAAACCGAGAATCAACACTTCACCAGCTCACTGACAGCTTAACTCACTCGCTTCCAGTCATTTTGCTTTTTCTAATAGTCATAAGTTTCCTGAGCCATATGACAGTTCTGGTGATGTTCAGGCTGCATCGTTCTCACCAGTCTTGGTC